TTTTATTATAAGAAGACTTTTCTTATAGCTTAACCTGGATTAAGGAATATGTTAAAAAACCCATCTATGAGTATGAGCGATATCTTACTATTTTTAGTGGGTGGTTGGCGGGTGCTCTTGAGTGGTTTGCTTCTTCTTTCCTATCAAACATCCATCGTCAATATTTCTCCTCCTTCTTTTTATGTTTGTAACAACTCTAATCTACTCCCTTGTAATAACTCTAATCTTCAGCACTTATATGACCTTAATGTGTTGGAAGTACAGTAAAACCCGTAATTAAAACAGCGTATTATAAATTGAAATTAGGACAAAGGTCATTTAACCCCATTTTTTGTATTACTTTATATTGCAATTTCTCTTTGTCCAGTTCTGGAAGTTTCTATAAAGAGCCGATTGTCGATTTTTTCTCAGTAGAGTATCAATTATGAAAAGCTGGCAGACTTTACTTCACTAATTCTGTTTGACTGCCCATGTATTGTTAGTTGAATGGGAAATCAAACATTAGTGACCAACCAACAGTTAAAGAGAAATGCAATATAATAATGATAATAATACAGGGCGCTCAGCCCCGATTAAAGAACACATTCTCTAAGTGCTTTACAAATACAATGGCAACATATAGATTGTACATTGTGTTCTGACCTTTAAAAACATTTACAGGTATATTTTTTAATTATTAAATTACTTTAGATGACATTTGAATACTTTTTCAAAAATCTGATCTCTCCTAAACAACTAGACAACCGACGACTTACTGACCTGACAAAATCACCTGAACAATATGGTTAAAAAGGTATTTTCTGAGAAATCTTAGATCCTTCAATCTGAATAAACACATCCTCCAAATATTCTACCCCTCACAATACAAACTGGTGAATTTATGAATATTTTGCAATGGTAACATTTGGGGAAACGGGCACATAAAAATAATGAATAATTGATCAGAAAAGGAACAAGAACTATGGGTGAAAACCTTGAAGAATTTTTTTTTATTCTGTACGAGACAAACGTTCAAAAAAGGTCAAAAATAATGCTAAGCCAAACTTTGACATTCACATTTCAATTATCGATCTGCAGAAAACGACTCATTTCTAAAA